AGGGAAGCCATTCTAACAGACCAGTCACACCCTAAACCTGCTGCATCTAGTGCTGCTTGTCCAATTCCCGATGATGTGGCTTTGGGCACGTATTCAAACATTACTATCAACGTTTCTCCAGTCTCAATAACACCACATAAGAGACGTTTTCCTTTGTTTTTTATTGTTTTTATTGTAGTTTTATTGAATATGCCATTCCTGTCTGGTCATTTAGGATCACATCCGCTCAGTTAGAGTCCCTTGATGTACTCCAGGCTAAGGTTTGCCGGCGACTCCTGAAGTCTGCAAAAATAACCTTTGATATCTATGAATCAAAATCCATTTTGAATAGATTGTGTCACTTAGAATCTCTGCAAATTTTGCCGTATCTTTATTTCTCTTGTTGTTTTATTTAAGTACATCAATTTCCACCCAGAATATCTCTCTCGCTTTGCGATAACCATATCAAGTAGTGCTCGTAGGCCCAAAAAGCTCATTTTTGACTCACATGGTGGTATTTTTTCATCCTTTTTCCTACAGAAAACTGGTTCTCTTTGGAATTGTCTTCCACCCCGATTGACAACTTTAGATTCCCTTTCTGAGTTCAAGCGTCATTTACGTATTCACATTGCTAAGTATCAGTTCGAATGCACTGGTACACCTTTGATGTGCAATCATTGATTTACATGCTTGTTCTTTTCTTTTCTGTCTTACTTTCTTTCCTTGTTTTTCTTATTATTCCTTTTTTTTATTATTCCTTTTTCAAACCAACATTTCACACTCACTTTGCGCACTTTCTCTCGCATCCTTAACTATGTTACTAGTACATACACAAATAGGAGATCCCCCAGATAGGCGTCAGCCTTTGGGTGATCCTGAAACGAGAGAGCTTGGAAGCTCAGGGCCCTACGCTTTGGTTTTTTTGCCTTGATGACCTAGACAAAAAAAGCATAGGGATGTTACAAATTCTTTCAAAATTCCTTACATAACCTGGGATTCGAACCCGCACTATCGCGCGCCCTGCATGCATTCCCCGATACACTTCGCATACATACTAATTCTTCCAAGTTGCTTCACAATGTGATCTTGCATTTGAAAGCCCTATTTGAATATGCATTGTGGCCAGCCGTCTTTGATGGCACGGTATGGTAGGGGATATGTACGGGACAGGTACGATCGAGGGTAATACCACACCGTCTACCGTACCGTACCGTACCATCAAACACAGCTGGCCACATACAGCTGGCCGCAATATTCAAATAGGGCTTTCAAACGCAAGATCATAACGTGAAGCAACTTGGAAGAATGGGTATGAATGCGAAGTGTATGGGGGAATGCATGTAGGGCGATGGTGCGGGTTCGAATCCCAGCATAGGCCTGAAAAAATAGGAGAATTGAAAAAATTATAACATCCCTATGCTTTTTTGCCGTCAGATACGGATAGCGCCAGGCGTGACACAAACAAACAAACAAATAAACAAACACACAAATACCAAATTAAAGCTGTGTGGACCCTGGCTAGCGCCAGACGTTACTGAAGTAACGTCTTCTGCATAGCTACGGGAATAAGTATATGTTATCGCATGGTTGCGAGGGCCTTATGGCATATTATTGCCCCGAGAGGTTAGCCCAAGGGCTAACCTCGAGGGGCAATAATATGCCATAAGGCCTGCAGCAACCATGCGATAACAAATTTATCACATGGCCCACAGAGCAGACCATTGGGCTGCTGTTGAAACTAGCCCAAATGCCACCACATTATGACCACAATGTATATTGATGTGCTATCATTATCAAACTGACTCACGCTGCTATCTGGTGTTCACGAGGTGTTTATCGCGCTGGAAGCGGAGCGTCTCTGTAAGTTTGTATCCCTGGTGATGTTTGTGCCTGGAGAGCACTATATAAGTGGTGCTCTTCAGGCACAATCTTCCTCAGCCTACTCAAGCTCAACTGATGAGGGGTGAATTCCCCGAAACACTGTGTATTGAGCAGGGAGTGGTGCTTTCTTGCAGGTTTGCCGAGTCGAAGGTTCGATGGACTTCTCGTGTGCTCTGGATGGCAGTCGTGAGTCAGTCAAGTGTCAAGTAAAGTCGGCGGAATAGCGCGAGCTCGGGTGTGGGGAGCAAACCTTTCTTACAAATCATCGCCGAAGTCGCAACCACTACTTCGTACTGTTGTGCCCAGCGCGGTCTTGCAACTAGTTGGTTTGGAGGTGACAGCGTTGCGAATGACCGAGGGTCCTCGACGTCTGTCTCACCGTCCAGGAGCGACACTGACTCACGCTGCTATCTGGTGTTCACGAGGTGTTTATCGTGCTGGAAGCGGAGCGTCTCTGTAAGTTTGTATCCTTGGTAATGTTTGTACCTGGAGAGCACTATATAAGTGATGCTCTTCAGGCACAATCTTCCTCAGCCTACTCAAGCTCAACTGATGAGGGGTGAATTCCCCGAAACACTGTGTATTGAGCAGGGAGTGGTGCTTTCTTGCAGGTTTGCCGAGTCGAAGGTTCGATGGACTTCTCGTGTGCTCTGGATGGCAGTCGTGAGTCAGTCAAGTGTCAAGTAAAGTCGGCGGAATAGCGCAAGCTCGGGTGTGGGGAGCAAACCTTTCTTACAAATCATCGCCGAAGTCGCAACCACTACATCATTATCAAAACAGGAAAAATGAAGATATTTCTCCTACACCCTAACAAAAAGTCTGCTACAGGCCATCAGAGATATAGAGTACTGAAAGAAGGAGACAGAAAAAAAGTGCCGACACGGCATCGTCGTAGCAATAGACACGGCAACCACAATGAAACACAGCAGAATCATTATTTCAGTTGAAAATTAAGAGTGCTGCCACAAAGAGTTTCTTCATGTTTACATGTGTATCAGGAAGTTGTCAAATACAGTACTGCAAGTATTTGACGACTCCCTGGTGTGTAATTCTGAGGACAATTTTTCTTCTTTTTTTCAGCTCCAGAGATGGCTGTATTTTTTCATTGCAAAACATTCCTGAATTGTTGTGTTTGTTGTTTAAGCAAAGGTGAAGGCAGAGGACAGAATTAACTGATGAGCCTGGTAAGAGTTTTGCGTGGCACAGGAAGACCACCCCCAGGAAGTGACTTTGCGAGGATCTGAAAATGCACGATGCTGAGTTGAATTTGTGTTATTTCAAATAATTTTTTGTGATCACAGTACCACATCGAGCAGAACTGAATCTTATCCACAAGCTTACCGATGGGCACGCTGCCAACATGACTGAACAAATGATCCCTGCAAGCACCACACGGCAGACAGCCGAGGCCATGTCCATTGCCGAGACGTCCATCTCCAAAAAGAATTCCATCTTCGTCTCAATGGTACACTGCGACTCGTCGTAGAGTCCTACAGTCTAGTCTACAGAGTAGTCACGCGATCACTGAAATAAACTATTTTTTTGCGGGCAAATAAACTATTTTTTTGCGGGCAATATCGCAATATACAGTGCTGCATGCTAAATGCACATGTTCGCAAGCAGTACTGCAGTACACACGCACGAGGCGTAGAGATAACATTATTTAACATAAACTAATTTTAGTTTGGAATCTATTTTAGTACAAAAGAGGCCGTGAACGAAATCGTCCGAAAACGGGAGAGCTTGGAAGCTCAGGGCCCTGCGCTATGCTTTGTTGCCCAGCTCGTCGTGCATGTTGTTAGAACTGATGGAAATGCTTTTTTCCTTTTATTAGCTACATCATTGTATTGCAAAAACGTTTCGATGAGTTACTGAAGTAATGTCTGCTGCAAAGGTATGGGACCGGCGCTGACTCTGCCGATCACGGGCGTTCTGGAGTTGACGGGATGTCGGTCCTGACGTTTCCTGGCCCCGGCGCTGACTCTGCCGATCACGGGCGTTCTTCTTCTTATTATCATACTGACGGCAACTAACATCCATTCTGATTGCATTTACTTGTCTCCCTACTTCGTATTTCTTTCCAGAAAATCTCCCCATACAGCAGGGAGTCGTTTACATAATATGACTCCCTGCTATACATCTACAAGACTGTATATACGTTATAATTATTATGCTATCGGCCAACATGCCATTCCCGGGCTGGTTGACAGGCGGCCCAGCCAGCCTGCTAGTGGGATCTCGGCCTCGCACACAAATCCACACAAAAAGTTACTGCACTGAATGCATTCCCCCGATACACTTCGCATATATACTCATTCTCTTGATGGTACCGTACTCTTGATGGGACGGGACAGGTACGGGATAGCGCCAGGCATGCATGTCGATGGCACAAACAAATAAAAGTATTGTGGCCAGCTGTCTTTGCTGGTACAGTACGGTACGGGACAGATACGGGATAGCGCCAGGTGTGACACAAACACACAAACAAACAAACAAACTAACACCAAATTAAAGCTGTGTGGACCCTGGCTAGCGCCAGACGTTACTGAAGTAACGTCTTCTGCACAGCTACGGGAATAAATTCCGTCCGAAAATGTCCTGCTATACAGTTAGCGGTCAATATACCAGTAGGTGGTCAATATAAGGCCATGGTAAAAATTATCCTTGATTCTCAAGTACGTGGCACCGATTTTTGGCGGCGCACCGAGGATTTTTTTATTTCTATGCATGCATATGCGCACATGAAAACAGTCAATGCGAAAGGCATGAATCAGGGAGTAGTAAAATACCCGTATTTTTCTACTCCCTGGCCATGGCCTGAATTTATAAACATGATACGATGTACATAATTATGTGTGACCGACCCTATCTTTGGAAATAAAAAAATTATGGGATATAAAATAAAAAATCGCCCGCTCGCACCAATTTTCACAGGCTCATGACCTGAGAATCAACTTTATTTTTACCATGGCCTAAGCGGTCAATATTATTCCTATAAAGCGAATTTAGGGCCACCTATTGATCAGGTGACAGAAAAGAGCGATGAAGATAAAATACGAACTGCTAATGGTGTTCATTTGTGCAGAAGTAGGTAAAGAGTTACGTTTGATTATTGCATGTGGATCATACGAGAAGCTCACCTTCACTCCAGCCTGTTTAATTGCCAATCGAAGGCCGTTTCGCTTTCAGATTAAAAAAACATGCAGGCAACAAAGACAAAAAATTCCTGCTGGTCTTCCTAGTGCTGTTGCTATTGCAAATATTGTTCCCAGATTCACCCCAGAGCCAGATCGACCTGGTGTCTTCGGTACTGTAAGGCAGAACACAGAAAAGACAATACTTGCATATGAGGGTAATCGATGAATCAGGCCACAGTTCACAGATCTTTTTGAAGCGGAAAAGTGTTCGAGATCTATGTTAGACAACTGCTAGTCTCAGTAATTAACATTCTTAGTCTGAGTTTTGTGGCCAGTTATTACCATAGCCAGCAATCGCATGTCATCTCGTACATTGAAAATCAACATAATTTTGCGAATCGACCTTTTTTTCAGGATCACTTTTCAACGAGGACGAAGCAAAGTCGGCCGAACGAAGCCTAGAGGAAGAAAATCACCCTCTCCACTTCACCATTACTGACATAGATACGAGATGAAACAACTAAAAAATCCACAAGAAAACTGTACGACCATCATCGCGCTGACTTTGGTCTGACTTTGGTCTGAGAATTTCTATCACGATCAAACATGTACGAGGAGCACTCAAAAGTCAGCCACAGACGTACCTTTATCGCCCTCTACTAGGGGTGAAACGGTTACCCTTTAAGCTAACAAACGGGTACCTGGCTTAACGGGCGGGTTATCGGGTACCCTTTAGCAAGCCATGCACTTTTTACAAGAACATTGCCACTGCATTGCCACTGGTTATGATCGTAAGCACAACGTCTCTTTTACGGGCATTCTGGAAGCATTTCTAACCAGAATGAATCTTCTTCTTGAGAAAAAAAGAAACAGAGAGAGAGAAAGAGAGAGAGAGAGAGAGAGAGAGAGAGAGAGAGAGAGAGAGAGAGAGAGAGAGAGAGAGGCAGGCACACACACACACACACACACACATACACGCATGCACATGCACATACACGCACACACACACAGGGAGAGAGAGCATGAACTACTTGTATCTATAATTCAATTGGCTGTGAAGGAAGATCTGTGAAGGAAGATCTGCAGCCAAGACAAGTGGCATGGCCGGCTTCGGTGGCGCAGGAACTCGTACATCGATGATGTGGGCGTTCTTGTGCAGAAAGACTTGTCCATCGATCATTTCTGCAGACAACTTTCTCCGGCGCTTGTCGACGATCTGCCCAGCAAAGGAAAACACGCGCTCAGATGCAACAGAAGTTGCTGGAATGCACAAGTACTTCCGTGCGAGTGGAGCCAGGCGTGGAAATCGGGCAGCATTTGTGCTCCACCACAACAGAGGGTCAACAGAGCGCTTGAATGGCTTTTTCAGCCAGATAAGCTGCTACCTCTGCTTCGATGGATCCCTCGCTATCCTCATCCTCACCGTCGTCGCAAAGCAGCTGATCCAGGAGGCAGCGGCGTTTTGCTGGTGGCTCGGAGCTAGAGCTTGAAGATTCCGTGCAGGGCGAGCAGCCGACACTTGCATAGCTGATGAGCGTTTGCTGCATTTCATGTTGCTGCTCCAAGTCGAGGAACTTTAGAGCCCGAAACCGAGGGTCCAACGCAGTAGCAAGCACTGCCTCTCCGTGAACATCTAAGCCATCCAAATGAAAGCGCCTAGTTATACTATCCGCAAATGCCTGCTTCACGCATGCCACTACCAGCAGGTCGTCATCATCTCCGGTCTGGCAATGGGATTTCAGTGCCGTCAGTAGGGGAAGAAGCCAGGACAGGGTTGAGTACTGCTCACCGCCCAAAGATGTCGTCACCTGGTCCACCGACCTCAGGAAATCGAGGAGATGTTCAGCAGTGGCCCACTGGTCTGCGGACAAGTCCATGGAGCGGCGATCTTTGTCTGGCATATCCGCAAGGACCAACTGCACAGGCACTTTGAGCTGGACAAGACGATCCAACATCAGGTACACACTGTTCCATCTTGTTGCACAATCCTGAACCAGGTGCTTCACTTCCTTCGCACCGACCAGACGTTGCTTATCTTCAAGCTGGCCAGTTTTCAAGGCGGAATGCTTGAAATGTCCAACTAAGTGGCGGCACTTTGCAAACAGGCTTGATAAAGTCTTCTTATCCAGCGGTTGGAAACTATTTTTAGAGACGACAGTTACTAGTACCTTCCGGATTTCGCGCCAGGATGACATGCAAGCACGAGTGACAAGTACACTGCATGCACTGCGCTACATGCAAAACGGTCACATGTAGCAAGATCGATCAAGAACAACCCGCTCAAACTGTACACCGAACTGTGCGATGTACGACTGTGCAAGTCAGCACCGTACCGTACTGTCGTACACGACTAACGGGTACTCGTTTGCTAACGGATCGCCAGTTAAACGAACGGGTACCCGTGTACCCGGATCACCCGTTTCACCCCTACTCTCTACTCCTTTTTCAAGGCACAAAAGTCGACTCTCCACTTTCAAACCAGGAACCAGACATACCAGTGGTCCTTTTCAGCTCCTCCACGGGCGCAGCAAATGTTCACCAAGGAGCGCAGAGCAGCATCCATTCCAGAAAAAGAGCTAAAATACGAGTGAGACTGCATGCCTGAGTACATGAGTACATGTATGAGTACATGCAGAAAATAGTCAATTTCAGCGTTTCTGCTCCAAACAGCAACTAGCTTCGACTAGAAACAATGATTACACCAAAGGATCAAACAACAACCATTTTCTGCAGTATTTTTGCAGATGGCTTCCTTGTGCTTGGCCCAGCAGGCAAGAAATCACACCTCGGAGGAGTACAAAACTTACAACTCTCAGATGTCCTCGATTGCTGGCATTGATTTGATGAATGTATGTTATCTGGTTCCAGTGTGGGATAATTGCCCATACTGCCTAAAAAAAGAAAAAAAGGAAACGCTAAATCAAAGCGACCCACGCGGTTCCGACCAAGCCACTACCCACTCCTCCTCCCCTCCTTCTACCAAGGGTACAGCCTGAACCTAGAGAACACGTGGCTCTGAGGAAGAGGGTAAGGCCACCCAAGCAGCCAATTCCGTCGCCTCCGCCCTGCCACCACCGGAACCACCACCAGTGTCGTTGGTAGGTGGGGTGGAGCCAGCCATGATAGCAGCACCATCACTGCTAACTGTACAGCACGTAATCAGAAGTCTGGAGTACCTAAACCAACGTTTGCATCAGCACCAATGATTTAGAGGCCGCGACGAGCTAGGGCAAATATAACTCTACTGACCTTTACCCGAGGAATGGCCTAGCGCCGAGTGGAGCGGAAACTGGAAGCAGGATACAGGATTGTCAACAAGTCACATCAAAGAGAGGTGTTGAATATCATCAACAGACCAGGCAACGACAAAGGCAGAATGAGGATGGCACAGACGGTAGCAGAGTTCCAGACATGAACTATGAAAGGGAAAATGGTGAGGACGAGGAGGCGGATGACGAGGAGAGAAGGAGTGTGATGAAGCAGATGAACATCGTGTTAGTAAAAAGTCAGCTGGGTACCTGCATTTATTATCTCGTGAAGATACTTTGGGTGCGTATGATGATTCTCATGTCTCTGTATTGAGTCGAGCTTGTTATGAACAGCAGTTGAAGGCAATCGAAGCTGTGTGTATATTGTTAAGCAGGAAAGTTTCGGACTGAAATATTTTCGGACAAAGCCGAATTTCGACCTTTCGAACGGATTTTATTTTCGTACAGTACTGCATGCAAAATGCACGTGTTCGCAAGCAGTACGCATGTATAGTGTAGATAATTTAGCATGAACAAATTTTAGTACGGAAGTAATTTTAGTACCAAAGGGGCCGTGTACGAAATCGTACGAAAATAAATTCCGTCCGAAAATTTCCTGCTATACAGTAATTATTCACTAGCCTGATCTGTGCAAACAGAAAGAGTATGTTTGTAAAAGGATTTCACGATCACAACGGACACCCTAGTAAGTTCCTGTTGGACTAACCAACTTCGAGCGAAAACTCGCTGTTGAACAGCCTTTAGTATTCAGAAAATAATAAGTACAAAGTACGATGCCAAAAAGAGAGTGCGGAGATTCGTGTACGTGCGCCATCCATGACAGCGTGATTCGGGAAGGAGTGCGATCATGTATGGGGAAGGGATTTAATGTGCTTACTAATACAAGGTGATTTGGCTTTTTTAACGTTGGGCATTTTTAACAAATGTGTAAAATTTGCTTTTCTTCTGGCAGTTTCTCTTCTCCTCTGGATGGCTGTATCGAAACATGGGTGTTGGCAAATGAGAGCCAGTATATGTTGACCAGTAAATTTGGTGCATATAATTTATATCTCCCTAATAATAATAATAATAATAATAATAATAATAATGATGTTGGAGTTCGGATTGAGTTTCTTTCCTTTCTTCCTCTTCCTTCTACTATTTCTTGTCCCTTTGGTTTTTAGGTTTTATTTATTTATTTATTTTTGCTTGTTTTTTCACTTTCTTTTTGCTGTCCCACCCATGGAAATATTTCCCGGTGGGTCTGGCTTATCGCCTTCGAAAGAAGTGAATGAAGGAGAGATAATAACACTACAGCGCATAATAATATAATTATGTGGGTATAATTATACGTTCTGCTTCTGTCCTATCTCCTATGATCAAATTTCATTATCTAGATATGACCTGTGACGCCAGATCATGGATTGTTGGCCAGATTTCTCCATGTAGGCTTGTCCAGAGCGATGGCCCGCACATTCTCCAGCTGATTGCTGCGCTTTAAGTCGATGTTCCTTCTCTGCAAGTCGCTTGTGATGCATGTCACAATGGATGTCCTTGGAGGTCCACACCCAGCCTTGGCATCTCCTGCAAAATAGCCCGTCAGTGCGATCCATGGCGGCGCATCCCTGTCCATACGGAGAATATGGCCGGTTAGCTGCCATCTTCTATTGTCCACGATGTCAGATTATTGTTCCGTGTTGCACCTCTTATACAGCTCAGTATTTGATATCCTGGCTGAGTAGACTATGCCAATGAGCCGTCGGAGCTGCTTCCGGTGGAGTACGTTTTAACTTATTCTGCATTTGCCACCGTGAGGCCCCATGCGCCGCAGTTATACAAAAGAACTGGCAGAACCAGGGCAATATACAGTCGGATTCTCCCTGCCACGTCAGTATAACTAGTGGTGGGGCTTTGCCATTTTGTGTAAAATGTGTAAAATAAGCACTTGAATGGACGAGGAGGGCAGTGAATTTCTTCCGCAGGGCTTTTGGAATAGGTCGGGCTGTTTCGCCATCACTAAAGACAACAATGAAGAACAGTAGGTCATGGAATACACTCGGTGAGAACGAAAACAAGGCTGCAATGCTATGCTACATATCCAATTCTACCGTATGACACAGCCACTAGTTACAAATATATAAACACGGCTTTGCGGGAGCATACAATGAAGTTGACAGATTAATTTTCATCCACTAGCATTCCTTGAAGTGATATCTATCAACTTCAGAACATTGATGACCGAATATCCCAGTTTGTGATGCCATTTGACCAGCGCTCTGCGAAAACCGACCTTAGGTGCTATTTTGGCGAAATTGAGTTTGTGCTGGATTGTTGACCCATGCCCCTTTCTTCAACTTCTGGTGAAGTTTGAGGTGGATTGCATACATATTCAGTTAGATACAATGACAATTTCTTTGCACTTTTCCTATAATATTTTGAGGAAAAGTAGCAAAAAATCCTGGATTTTATGCTACATTTTGGAGCCAATGTTGTGAGAATTCAAGCAGCATGATTGCAACCAAACTTTGCAGAATATATCTGTATGTCATAATCTTCAAAAGGATGGCATTGGATCTTCCTCAGCGGTTGTGGAGATAGACACATTCGATCTCTGTTCTGTGCATGGTGTTGCTCACGAATCTGCTGGAAGAGGTATTTGGCTCTGTATGAGGATATGCCAGCCAGAGTGATGGGTAGAGGCAGGTGCAAAGTAGTGAAGAAGCTCGGATCAATGCCGGGTTAAAGGATATTGATAGTTTTATCTGGTACTGGTAGTAGAACATCTAGTTATGTCTACATCTGCCGCACACATTGTTTCATAATCGGTGATATCATGGCAGGTCCTTTTCCAAATCTTGCCAAACGTACTGTATGCAGCTTTGCCACCAGGCTTTGTGAACGCCTGGTGAACAAGCTTCTTCGTAGTGATACTGGGCAAATACATGTAGGTTGGTACTGGCTTGTTGTGCCCATGTGGACCTGCAGGTTAATTAAGGGAGGCCATGAGCTATAGCATAATGCTCTATAAAATGCTTCAGCTCCACAACATCTTCCACAGGCAGTGCATTCCAGAGGTCATTCCTGTGTTTGGCTGATTTCACTTGCACTGACAGCAGCCTGCACAGATTTCAGCACCCAGGGCTTGATCCTGGGCTGGAGGCATACACAGACTTCCTGACATGCATGATTGTACATGACTTCCACACCAGCCACTGACTACAATGTAGTCTTCAGTAGTTCAGAGTAGTAGTAGTAGTATTGTTGAGCCCCATCTTATCACATCTCCCAGCATGCTGGACGCGCTGGGTAGCCTCACCACGTCTCCTGAGCACGTCTAGCTTTCCGCCTACACACAAGCAGCGCTCTGACTTGGTCAGGACGTGCGTTGTGTGCGCTGTAAATGTAAAGCAAGGTTTCAAGTGTCACGCTCTTGAAACAGCACCAGTGCGGAACAACTACAGCCCTTGTCAAACTTGTCGCGCGCCTCCTGGATTGTAGACAGTACTTGAACCGATTTTTCTTGGTCTGCACTCTGTTTATTGCCGGCATTGAGGGGCTGGGCTGGTGGCAAAACCGACGCCTGATCGAAATTCTCCTCCGCATGGCTGTCCAGCTCGATCAGCGTTGCGTCCTGCGATTCCACATCCAACTCTCCTTGGCACTGCTGTCATCAGAACTGCGATTGGACCAGGCCAAAAAATGACTATTCATCGTAAAGGAGTTCGGATGAAACCTCTGGGAGAAGCCCACAGCAATTATTTGAGCTAGCGACTGTCTTCTGCTTCGTTCCGCCATAACTCTCACCTTGTGATCTTCAAAAATCGACAGACCGTGACGTTTTGTTCTTTTTCTCGAAAAAATTACGAAGCACCTAAGGTCGGTTTTCGCAGAGAGCGGGTCATTTTACAAATTTGTATAAAAAATGACACACAAATTATTTGAACCCTGAGAATACTATGAAAGTAGAACATGATTCAGGACACTTTCCAAAGTGGGATCATTACCAATTTTTTAGACAACGGGCATAAAGGATAGCACTTCCACTTGCGACAAATCATGTGGACGTAGCTTGCCTAGAAGTGGCTGAAAAACGTCATTTTACAACCATGTTTAAAAAACCAAATCACCTCGTACTAGCAAGTGTACTTAACCCCTGGGGGTTATGCACTCTTGCTAGTAGTGATAGCCGGACTATCCAGGAATGCACTCAAAAGACAATGACAGATAATTTGAGATGAAGTAACTTGCAGACACTAGTCGAAGAGCCAAGCCAGCTGAGTGGATCTTTTTTTCTTATTTTTTCGGGCGAACGTTTATGTGGTGAACTGTGTTGGTAAAGATGAAGATAGCAGTCAATAAAAAATTGCTGTATTTCTTGTGTCTAACCAATCCTGTTCGGATCGAACTGACGATTCCTGAGCGTTGCGAGTATCCTGAAGTCTGCTCCGATTAGCTAGGTATCTAGAAATTTCAACTTGAGTGTCAAGTGAAAACTTTGTCAGTTGCAGAGGAGGGAACTCTCGCTTCACGATTTTCCTGGTGTATGGAGAGACGTTGGAATGCCGGCCCACCACACCCGACATGATGCTTCGGCAGGAATGCTGGTTGGTGCAGATGATTACCCAATCATATATCTAAGATTG